AAGAGCAGTATTGTATTTCAAGGATAGCAGGTGGCTTACAGCCCATGCAGTATTTAAGGACTGCAGTTTAAGTTTTAATTTTCACAAACTGCTTTTCATGCAGTGAAAGCAGTTGTACATGTTAATTCTGATGGGACTTCTGTCAGCATTCACTATATTGAATTCTTTGTAAGAATGGGTATTACTGTCTTATTATCCGGAGGTGCATACATAAGCCTAACATATCATCATAGTTCATGTACTACTATTTTTGGAAATTTATATTTTTAAATATGTTATTTTCTGATAACGCTTGTATAAGCGGCATTGTGGATAAGTTCCATTATTTACATAAAAATAATCTGTCCTGATCACATTGTATGTGTATCTATATGCACAACTCACTTTTCAGTTTGTGGCCAATGGGAGAGTTTATGCAGCCAAAGACTTCTCCAGAAGCAAAGGTATTTTATAATAGAAAATAAAGGCGTGTCTTTTGTATGTGTGTTCCTTGTAGACAACTTCTTACTGACTTTTCCCATGCCACAGGACAGATGTTTAACTCCTAATATTTCAGCACCTGTTTCATATGGTCCCTGTATGTTGTTGTGAACAATGAAAATCATCAAATAAGCTTTCCCTAAGTATCCAAGATGTACCACATGTGCCTAGTTAATAACCACGTGATATTTTAATATCCATGTAAAATACAAGATATGCTCTAAATTAAGATAGCTAGTTGATCAAAAACAAAATTTATGCTAATGACATACTAAAAGATGTATTACCAGGTCCGTTGACTGATATTTCCATTAAATGTGGACAGCACCTTCAAAGAAAACCTCTTGAGGTTTTACATATAATTTATCACAAGAAAACCATATCACCCAGTAAACTTATTTAAAAAACAACAACAATGAAACAAAGAAAGAGAAAAACAAAGGAAGAATACAGAAAGAAAATAATATGAACAAAGACAGTTTTTAGTGGAGCAGTTGTCTCAAAGCCTGAAGAGCAATAATCTAAAATCCATTCTTTGAGAATGACTATCTGTTGAGAGCCATATCATAGTTTATGTGACTGATGCTCTCCATATTTGTAGAGTACACAACCTGTGCAACTGTACATATATTATGGTTAAGAGTCACAATCTGTTTTGTGTCATCATCTTAGAAGCAGCTAGAGCTCCTGGAGTCTTGCTTCTAATCCTCATGTACCTACTTCAAAATAATAGATACTTAACTACGGCTTTGAAGGCAAACTGCTAGAGAACTTATTTTCTGATGTCACTTGAAACAAAGCCCAAGGAAAATCAATGCATTCATCACTCTCCCTAGGCTATGTAATTGTGGATAAAATTTAAAATAATATCTCCATTTCTATTTCTGTGCAACATTTTTAAACCACTTACCTACGTATTTGTTGTATCCATATCAAAAATTCCCTGGTAGCACAGTGGTTAAGCATGTGGATACTAACCAAAAGGTCGGCACTTTGAATTCACCAGCTGCTCTTTGGAAAACCTATAGGGCAGCTCTACTCTGTCTTATAGGATCGCTATGAGTCGGAATCGACTCGACGGCAACAAGTTTGGTTTTTATAAATGTTCTAAATAACCTAAGCAAATCTAGGTTGTCATCAATCTTCTCTTGCCTCTTGTTTCTTGGTGGTATGAGGTTCCCCCCTTCAAATAGTAACCAGGCCAGACCCTGCTTAGCTTCTAAGATCAGAAGAGATCTGGCACGTTCAGGGTCAGGCTTGGATAGTATTTGGATGGGGGACCTCATATCACCAAGAAACAAGAGCCAGGAGAATAGCACACCTTTTGGACCTAGAGTTCCTGTGCTGAGAAGCTCCTCGATCGGGAAAGATTGATGACAAGGACCTTCTTCCAGAGTTAACGGAGAGAGAAAGCCTTTCCCTGAGCTGCCACCCTGAATTCGGACTACTAGCCTACTGGACTGTGAGAGAATAAATTTCTCTGTGATAAAGCCGTCCACTAGTGGTATTTCTGTTATAGCAGCACTAGATAACCAAGACAGAATATGTTAGTGGAACAGAGGGGTGCTGCTCTAAGAACTACCTAAACTGTGGAAGCAGTTTGGAAACTGTGAATGGGAAGAAGCTAGAAGGGTTTTAAAGTGCCTAATAATAAAAGCCTAGATTGCCTTGAAGAGACTGTTGGTGGAATTATGGACATCAAGACCTGGGACTCCTTCTTCAGCCCATCTGAGCCTTCCAGCCTCAGACGAAGTCCTTCAGATCCCTGACACCATCCCTGGAGGAAATGAGCAGACACTTCACCCTGACAACTCTGCCCTGAGCCTTCCAGAGCTGACAGTAAGGTTGGCACTCTGTGCTGGCCTCCTGCTTTCTGGGGGGAATAGTCCCCTCTGTCCTCACTCAAGGTTCTCATTTTGACACTCAATCAGTCTTCAGTCCTCACCCTTAGCTGATGTGGTACCAGGCCCTTCAGACCAAGGTCATCACTTTCCTGGGAGCTCCAAGGCAGCCTTCAGGATGAGCCACATCCAGCCACATCTGTTTGGTTCTTCTGAGGGCTGACAGCAGGGGTGAGTTTCTATGTGACTCCACTGTTCTATAGTCTCTGGTCCCCTCAGTTGTCACTCAGAATCTCCTCTTGGTATATATCAGAGCCCGGGACTCCTCCCTTTACTGACCGGAGACCTCCAGCCTGAGAACAAGGGCATTACCTCCCTGAGTCTCTAGATGGGAGGAGTAAGGGTGTGCCACATCAGGCTACCCCTGCCTAGGGCCCTCCATGCCTGACACCAGGGACAGGGCTCCGTGTAGCCGCTACTCTTGTGGGGGGACTCACTCATCAGCACTCAGGGTCTTCACCTCGATTCCAATTAAGGACTATTAGGAACTTCTCCTTTTGTAGAATGTGGGTCACAACCAATACACCAAGGTCCTCACCTACCTGAGACCACACCCCAGAGGAAATGAGAAATGAGAAGGTATCTTAAGCCAGATACTTCTGCTCATGGCTGCCCATGACAAGTTCTGAGACTCCACCCTTGGTTGACCAGGGGTTGCTATCTCAGAGCACGGTCCTCAATTTCCCGAGATCTCTGAAGTGGTCCCTGAGTCTTCAGGGAGGAACGCCAGGGGTCACCACATCTAGATTCCCCTGCCTGGGGTTTCCCAAAACTGACAGTAGCGACAGAGCTCTGTGGGGACCCGTATTGTGGGGAAAATTTCCCTCAGTCCTTACTCAGGGTCCTCATCTTGATTCCTGGCAGACCCTGCAACTCTCTTTCTGCATCTGCTTAGACAAATGTTCTTGGGTCTCTGAGACTCCTGAAGAGTAAGTGACGGGACGCTCAGCTTGACAACCCTGCCTAAGGCCTTCTAGGTCTGAGTGCAGGCAGGGCTGGTCTCTACTTGACCCCCTATATTCTTGGTGCTGTTCTCAGTCTTTATTTACTAGGAGCCTCATGTTGGCTCCTATCTCTTTAATGAAAGGCTTCCTATGGAATGTCACATCCCTGCAACTCTTGAGCAGTTTCCCTACTGCACACCTTGCAGAGAATGGGTCCCTGTCCCAGAGTGATGTGAGATGGTACACTGCAGCACAAGGCAGGAGGCCCAGGATGGGTGGTGGGCTGTCAGAGAAAACACACATGCTAAACTGTTTCTTCTCTTCACCACCCAGATTGTCTTTTATGTAACTTATGTTCTAAAAGATTTACTTTCTACAGGAAAGGGGCAGTCCAGTATGATTTTGTGAGCCCCTGATCTTCTGAGGTTATCTGACACTGCATATGTTGTTGTGTTGTTAGGTGCCATCAAGTTGGTTCCGACTCACAGTGACCCTATAGGACAGAGTAGAACTGCCCCATAGGGTTTCCAAGGAGCGGCTGGTAGATTGGAACTGCCAACCTTTTGGTTAGCAGCTGAGCTCTTAACTGCTATATATCACCAGGGTATATATAGATGATAATATTGCCACCGATTATTATCTTTTTTTCTTATGCATTGCATACCTCTAATTAATTTCGGTATTCTTGTTACTCTGGCAATGTTTTTCACCCCAGTAATTGGGCACAGAGTCCTTCTATATCTACTGAGATACATTTTGTAGTGGTGAGAAGAAAAATGAATTAAGAGACACAAGGTCAGCCTCTGGCTGGGAGGAGTGCAACAGTGTGGGTTCCAGATGGATTCAGACCAGGGATCTGGTCCATCTCTGTCACTTACTAGTCTTGTGAACTTGAGAAGTATGCAAGTGCTTCATCTGCAGAGTGAGACTGATAAGCCCCATCTTGTCCATCTGTGGGAATGTACGGACTGTAATAGAAAGCACTCGGCAAACTGATTGGGAAATACTGAGTTTAACCAATGCAGTTGTCATATGGTTATTTTGAACTCAGAAAATAAAACCCTTTCATCACAACTTTTTTTTATTATTTTTTTAATCCAGTAGATATAAAATATGCAATGCTCTAGCTCAAAAAGAAAACAAAACAAAAAACATTCCTAAATAAGGTAATCTAACCCAGGGGTGTGTGTGTGTCTGTACATACATATGCATCTTTTAATTTTATAAAAAGGAAGATTAAAAGGGATAAGGCAAACCAAGAATTGCCACCCTTCACTTTTTAGATTTTTTTCCTTCCATTTTGTAATCCTAACTATTTTAATGTGGGGTTCTTTCACATTTCCATGAATATCCCTGTTCCAACTAGTATTCTAGAACATCAAGAAAATATTGAAGATTTTTCAAGTTGTTTTTATCAATACGGAAACTCTAGGTCTTAAACTTGATAAACAACAAAAACATGTAATGACCATGCCATTCGTAAACTTACATTCTGAAGCAAAATAAACCTTATATTAAAAGGCACAACAGAGAGAGAGAAAGAACTACAAGTTACTCATGTACAACAGGAACACAAAGAAGATACACATCTCAATTCCTCCAGCTCCACCTCAGCCCCTACTACTTAGGTTGACAGACCTTTCAACCACTAACTGAAGAATCTGCTCCTACTTCACTAGATGCTAGAGAATCTACTAGACTTGGCCCTGAAAGATGCACTGGCTGTAACAGTAGAACTAGCAGTGGCTGCAACTTTGGCTCCGGCTCTCTCTTTCTCATCTCTCAGAGCCTCTTCATACAGAGCTGGGAAGGAACTGGGAACTGTATCGTTGTACTTGGCCATGAACTCCAGGACTTTCATCTTGGTGGTTTCAGCTTGGGATCTGGGACCCCACAGGAATTCGTAGCATGGAGGATCACTGTTGGGCACCTGCCGGTACTCCAGGTACTTATCCTGCACTAAATCTTTGGTGATGAACTTCCTGGGCTCCCCAAAGAGTACGTGGCTCCTCCCAGCGTAGATCCCCAATGCATTCAGGAATTCCCAGATATCTTTCTCAGTGGCCCGGTTGCCATTCACGAAGATCATGCCCAGGAGGGTCATCAGGAGACCTGTCTTGGGCAAACCCGTGCCACCACACAGACTTCCTCCTTTGGTGACATCCAGCTGGCTGATGAGGTCATAGGAGTTATTGCTGGGGTTAGTTTCCTTCAATTCAAGGCCAAAGATCAGCTCCATGCGCTCAGTGGCTCTCCTCAGGATCTCAGGAAATTGCTGTTTATACTTTCTGTTGATAAGCTTCAGCATGTCTGCCTTCATAATGGGCTCTTTCATTTTATACTTCTCAATGAAGAACTGCACCAACATGCTTGCCTTCCTGGTCAGAGGATCTTTACGTGAGCTCTCAGTGGAAGGTGTTGCCTGAGAGGGGCTTGGACTTTCCTCATCTTGGCTCTTGGCACTTCCATCAGACTTTTTACATAAAATCGCTGCTGCAGCAGGAGTGGTGGTGGCTGAGGCTTTCTCAGACTCCTGCAAAATGCCAGCAACATGGGAGCTCTCGGGAGCATCCCCCAAAACAGGACAGGAAGAGGGGAACCCTTCCTCCTCCACTGCAGTGGCCTGAGCACCCTTGAGACCCTGGGTTTCACCTCGGACATGTTGGCGTTTCTCACGGGCACGGAGCTTACTCTTTTGACCACGAGGCATGCTGACTCTCTTGAGAACCCTGAGGAGGAAGTTAGAGTGAGCCTTAGGTCATAGTCTAATAGATCTGCCTGTGGCTTACTGGGTCTGACATCGCTGGGGCTTCTTCTGTTCTTCCGTAGTGGGATCTCTCAGCTCACATTCAGGACCATCGTGTCAACTGTTGGCAGAGCCTGGGTCCCCTTCCCTTTGCTACTCTGATGTTAGCACCTTAATCCTCCCTGGACCCCACGAGAAGGAAGTGAAGGGGAACATCAGCCCACTACCCCTGGCAGGGGACGCCAGTGCTGACAGTACAGCATGAGGCCCTATGGTGAACAGACCTGCCCGTCCTCACTAAAGCCCCTCCGTTTGACTCCAAGGAAGAACTAAGTTTCATTCCTCTGCTGACATGTCACCACTCCCTCAAACCAGAGCCCTTTTTTCTCTGTGATTCCCAAAGAGGAAATGAGGCACGTGTCCACCTGAAATCTATTCCTGGGCTTTCGATGGCTGAGGGATTCAGAGGAGCCCCCCCATTGTATGGGATGAGAGACCTCAGCAGCCCTTTGGGTCCTCACCCTGACTCCTGGAATGCCTGGAAATCCTCCCTCTGCTGACAGAAGGCTGGCCCCTTACCAAGGCCCCCAACTCCGGCGACTCCTGTGGACAAAATGGAGGGGGCACCTCAGACTTGAGCCCTGCCCGGAGCCACCCAGGGCGATTGCAGTAGAGCGGTCCTGCCCCAACCCCCCACCCCGTGCTACGGTATGGAGTCTTCTCAGGCATATCTTTCACTCCATATAGGGCTTGGGATTTCTCCACCTATTGGCCTGAGACCAAGAGCCTCAGACCAAGGCCATCATACTTTTGGACCCGGAGGCAGAAAGGCTGACAGAGAAGTGGTGTGGAGTGGGGCTCTGTGGGGTCTCTTCTGTTGCCAGGAGTTTAGCCCAGCAGTGCTAACTCAGGATACTCACCTTGACACCTGACAGGTCCTGAAATTCCTCCCTCTGCTGGACAAAGGCTGCACCTCAAACCCAAGCCTCGCCCTTCGGTGTCTGTCCCACAGGGGAAGTCTGCGCATCACGTCCGGCCACGCCCACCTGGGCCCTACCATGCCTGACAGCAGGGGTGGGGCTCTGTGGATCTCCCTCTTTTCCTGGGTGTGCGGGGTAAGTGGGTTCCACAAAAGCCACATGGGGGCCTTTTATTGACGTTTTGCGTGGCCTGGGACTTCATCCTCTCTGAGCTGACTCAGCCAGCTTCAGAAAAAGGCCCTCATTTCCTGCACACCCCTTGTCCGATATAAGGGGAGCCTAAGCCTGGCAGCCATGTCTGGGGCCTCCCAAGGCTGACAGGAGGGGCTAAGCTCCTTGGGGGCGGGTCTCTGTGGGGGTGGAGCTCTGAGGGGGCGGGGCTCTGTGGGCACCTCTCTACTGGAGTCGAAGGAAACCTCACTCAGAATCTTAGCTTGACTCTTGCTGGTTGGCGGGCTGCCTCTCCTCTTCTGACCTCTGGCCACTCCTCTCAGACCAAAGACCGCAACTCCCTGAGACTCCTGATGTAGAAGGGTGTGTACACCTCATCTGACAACTTTGGCCTGGGGCGCCCCAAGATGGCTGCCACCCGGTGGGGTCCGGAAGCCTTTGACTCGATGGGATCCCCTATCTTCTGGAGGTTGGAGCCCCTCATTTCACATTCAGGGACCTCATACTGATTTCTGGCAGTGCCCCAACTCATCCCTAATCTGACTTCAGCTGCTCCCTTCCTGCTCCCCAACATGACTCTCCAGTCCCCAAGGGGAAAGGGAGTGGAGCCTTACCTGACAGCTTCTTTGGCTGACATCAGGACTGTGCGCCAAAGTTTCCGGAACAAATTTCTACCCTTAATATGTGTGATCCCTGTGATACTCGCTATTCGATTTTACTCCATTCTCTGTATGCGATTAAAATAATTATGAAAAAGTCCAGTTCTCATTCACAAAACAGGTTTCAGATGGTTATTAGCACAATCTTTGAAGTCATACTGTCTTAACTAACCCAAGGGTTTGTGCTCTCTTGATATTATCCCCATGGTAATGCCACATGTCATCTAAGGTGCTGCCTCACATTCCAGCAGTGGAGCAGTCTAAATTCATTGTCCCCAGAAACACTGGGAAGGAGCAAGGGCAGAAATACAAAGCTTTTCCTCCAACTGATTCTGTCATCTGCCTTCAACTGTAGGATAGAGACCTGTCTCAACTTTAGGGCACGCCCCCACTGCACACATACATGTTCATACTATTTCAACACAGACTTAGTGTCCCTTAGAGCTTGCTCATTTTTGTTGATTTGCTGTTGTCACTGATATTGTTCTTTCTTTATTCCTTCCTTCCCCCTCCCCCCACCAGGGTTAATTCTGAACGTGGAAAACGGCAGCCCTAGATTGGTTATCAGCTTGGCAGCGACAGGTAAGGCTCTAAATCTGTAAATAATTGAAGGAGTATTGACATCTTTAGGAGTCCCTGGGTGGCGCATGTGGTTAATTGCTTGACTACTCACCACGGAATTGTTGATGGTTTGAACTCGTCAACAAGCGCCTTGGAAGAAAGGCCTGGAAGTCTGTTTCGGAAAAATCACAGCCTTGAAAACCCTATGGAGTAGTTCTACTCTGCAGGCATGGGGTTGCCATGAGTCAAAATTGACTCAACAGCAACAAACAACAGCACTGACATCTTTGCAATGTTCTCTTCCCCGTGAATAAACATCGTATACTGCTCTATTTGAGCCTTCCTCTTCCTAAGTCTATCAGCAGATTTTTATATTTGCCTGTATAAAGACAGTGTACAGTCTCTTAAGTTTCATTTTAGGTATATTTTGTAAGTTCTTGGTGTTGTGAAAGGAGTACTTTCCATTACATGTTCCATTTATTTATTTATTTTGTGGCCCTTCTCCTGATTTTGCTATAGTGATTTTCTATAGACCAGCTTTCTGAAATTCTTAATACTTTTGAATATTTTGTAAGCCAGTTACTTTGGGTTTTTTAATAAGAGGATCATATTGTTGTCATTATTCTCTCTTTTTTCTTACCTTTGATTTATTTTGGTATCTAGCCTATCACTGTATACTGGCTATGCATTTCGGATCAGGTTCCAACAGTACCTGTGGTCCCATACTTCTGTCTTATTCCAGACTTTATTAGGAATGCTTCTAGCATCTCACATTTACATGTATTTGATGTTGATTTTATGTTATAAATTTTATATTGTATTGTATTATTAGATTAGATTAAATTACTCTGTGCCCTCGAGTTGGTTCTGACTAATAGCGAACCTATGTACAACAAAACAAAACACTGCCGGGTCCTGTGCCATCCTCACAATCATTGCTGTGTTTGAGCCCATTGTTTCAGCCACTATGTCAATCCATCTCTTTGAAGGTCTTCCTCTTTTTCACTGACCCTCTACTTTACCAAGCATGACGTCCTTCTCCAGGGACTGGTCTCTCCTGACATGTCCAAAGTACATCATTTGAAATTCACTTTAGGAATTGGAAATTCCCTTCTAATGTTAGTGTGCTAAAATTTATCATGAACTGGTATTAAATTTTTGTTAAAGGGTTTTTCTTTAACCCTGAACATGGCAAAAATGCATTTCCTCCTTTTACTACTAGCATACTGATTTCCAGTTGACAGTAATTTTTAATAAGATATCATATTTGTGTTCCTTGGGCACAGCCTATTTCTTCATTTAGTTCTCTGCTATATTGGATCTGATATTAATTTATTTAGGAAAATTGTCTCTATGTGAGTGAACCTGACCCAAGTGTTCTTTTATTGGGGTAGCCTTATCTGTTCTTTGTAACAAGGACAGCTAGTCTGGTAAAGTGGTTGAGTAATTTCCCATTCTTCTGTGTGGTTTGGAAGAGTTTACATAGGATGGTGACCAGTTATTCTTTGACCATTTGATGTAATGGGCCTGCAAACCTGTCTGGTCCTGGAACATTCTGAGCGTGTCTTGGATTAGGGCTACAGTTTCAGTTTGTATTGTTCGATTACATTTTTCTATTTCTATGTACAATTGCTATGAGTCAGAATCGACTTCACAGCAATGAGTAGATTGGGTGAAAATTGTTCCCTTTCAGATTGAAAGGTTTCCAAATTTAAAGGCACAATTTTATCATAGAAATTCTCAAACATATATGGCAGTAAGAGAATGGAAAAATGAACCCAATATACCTGACGCTCAGCATCCATAATCCTCAACAGGTAGAAGCTTGTTCAGATTAAGGTTTACTTATTAATCTGTTTATTGGCAGGAACACTCTAGAGATGACACCGTGCACTTCCATTAGGAGATGCATAATATTTGCTGTTTCCCTTTGTGGTGACATTGACAGTCCCTGAGGATCATCACCTTTATCCATTAATTCATTAGGGGCTACAGAATGGGAATTCTCTAATTCTATCATACTTTTCAGTTTACTAACGGAAACAATTCTATAGCTAGAACCTTTACTTGTCCTCCATTTCTTATCCTGATGTAATGGTAAAACTTATTTATAGTGTTCTCTTATAACCTTTATATCTCTTCTAAGTTATATTTTGTACAATTGTATTTATATAATATCCCTTATTTCTATTTCTTTCTTTTGTAACTGATAATATTTATAAGAATTAGTATATAAACCTTTTCAAAGAATGTCTTTCATCAGATGACTCTAAGAACAACAACAACAAAACCCAAACCAGTTAATTCTGACTCATAGCAATCCTATAGGACAGAGCAGAATTGCCCCATAGGGTTTCCAGGGAGCAGCTGATGGATTCAAACTGCTGACCTTTTGGTTAGCAGTTGAGCTCTTAACCACTGCACCTCCAGGGATCCAAACCAAACCCGTTGCCATCACGTCCAACTCTTAGTGAACTTCTCCTAATTCATCATGTCTGCATCTATTTTCATTATTTTCTCCCTTCTAATTCTTTAGATTTAATATGCTATTTTTCTAGTCTTGATTCATTTGCACATTTTAAATATTTTTATG